AAATAAAATTAAATTTTTTTTAATATATGTACCCACAAGGGCAGGACTTTTGTTTTGTTAACTAATGTGTCCTTTATAGTTTAGAACACTGTGTGCACTGTAATAGGTACTCAGTAGGTATTTGTGGAATGAACAATTAATTGGATATAAAAGAGAAAGCGGTGGGGGGAGAAGCCTGAGATAAAACTGCAATCTCTAATAGAGACAATCTTTCTAAATGTGGATGTAATTTGAAAGTTAGATAATGACTTGGGGTTTGGACAAACTGACTCTGGATTAAAATTCCCTGAAGCCCAGCCAGAGAGGCTCAGTTAGTTGGGTGTCATCCCATGCACCAGGAGGTCACCAGTTCAATTCCTGGTCAGAGTACAAGCCCAGGTTGTGGGCTTGATCCCCAGTAGGGGGCGTGCAAGAGGTAACCTATGGATGTTTCTCATTGATGTTTCTATCTCTCCCTTTCATTCTCTCTGGAATCAAAAAAACATATTTTATAAATGAATAGCCCCGAAAATGAATAGTAACTATAAGACCATAGCTGGTGGGTGGTTCCACAAATGGAGATAAAGGGAATAATGGACTTGTCAGTACTATGAGAATTAATTTTAAAAAGAAAAAGGCAAGTATCAAAATTCTATGGAAAAGAAGGCAAGAGCAGAGATGCAGGAAACACCAGAGAGAGAAGGAGGAGGAAGAGGCATCAATGCAGTATATAAGAACAGTGGGAAAATACAGGTTAAAGAGGGAGCAATAATGCAGTGTCTCTAAATCTCAGCAACAGCTATGAGATTTTTTTTCCATGCAGAATGACTTGGAAATGTTTGAAAGCAAATAGAGTAAATGGAATTTTAAGCATTAGGTATGACAAGTATTGAAGGTTGAGTCCCAATGTAACTAGTTATGAAGGAGATGGTTTGGGAGAAGAATAAAGATACTTTCCCCCACTGACACCAGGAAAGAAAAAGAGAACTATGAGAAAAGGGTTAATGTGAGTAAGAAATATATAAATATTGAAGTGTTACATTCTTTTTGATAGAATAGGTGGAGAGATGATATGCCAAGGAAAGGATAGGACAGCTGGGACTGGGGGCATAGAAAGAGAGAAAAGGTCTAAAATAGCTCCCATGGGGACAGAGCCTGGGAGTACAGAAAAGACAATTAAAAAGACTGCCAAATAGCAGCAGAGAGCAGATTGAAGTTTGAAAGCATCCCGTTGTAATGAGCCAAATCTGCAATGCTGTTTGCCTCTAGCAGCTCTCTCTCTCCTGGGAGAAGCAGCAAAAAGAGCAAGAGTTAGTGGTAACCTGTATTTAGGAGTGTGTTGGATGAGCAAAGAGGTAAAGGTTATTACTGAAGAGCCAGATCTTGTGTTCCTGGTAGGGAGTGAAAATCCAACTCCTTTAAAGCAAAGAGAGCAACAATGGATGAGTCTGATCACTGAGGAGTATTTCTAAGGAAGTCAGGAGAGTAATTATTTTGAGTACCAAGCTGAAAGTTTAAACTTTCAAGGAAATTAGAAAGCTTCCAACTTCTCAGCTCCCTTTCCCCCACCACAACCTGCTGAGACTACAGGAATGGGAAGAAGCAGAAACTAAATGAGATGAGAAGATGCTTGTCAGATGACTGCTGTGCAGTGTGCAATTGTGTGTGTGTGTTGAGGGGAAGTGGGGATGAGTTGGGTATTAGCATCAATACAATAAAAAGTGGTAGTCTAAAATTTTATTCATTTCCAACACATTAGCATCACTCATTTCTTTTTTTGTTGTTATATACGGTTTAAGATTACTAAATTATTACTTTCATATAAATACAAGCTTTGGTTTTCAATCAAATCTTAACACTTCCTGTTGGTGCAATGCAACCATCTGTAGGGAATAGGTGGCACCTGTTCTCTCTACTTTCTCCCTACCCTCCTCTGCACCTTGTTCACCTACTCTGACCACCTCCATCCTCTTTTAGTTCCTGGAATCAATCAAGATGATTCTCCACTCGGGGCCCTGTACCAGCTTTCACCATGCCAGCTGTGCTCTGCTTCCAGATGTTCCTTCTTGACAGTTGGGTCTCTACTTAGCTGTCACTGCCCCAGAGACTGTCCCTAACTGTCAACCTGAAGGAGCCTGGGATATACTCTTTTACCCATCACCTTGTTTTGTCTTTTATTCTAACTCATTTTTTTTTTTTTCTTTTTTGGTACGTGCCCATAGCAGGAACCGAACCCAGGACTATCCGACCACAGGCCGATGTTCCAACCACTGAGCCAAACTGGCCAGGGCTATTCTAACACATTTTATCTGATAATTTCTTGCTTATTTTTGTTGTTTTGTGGTCTGCCTCCACCAATTAGAATGGAGCCTCCATGAGGAAATAGGATTTTGCCTGTCTTGGTCACCACTATGTATCGCCAGCACTTCAAATACTTTAGACCACACATTTTACATCCAAGTACTTGTCTAATGAATGAACAAATGATTTAAAAAAAAAACTTAGCATTTTTATGCTAAATATGATGGAAAGTTACATCAAGTAAATGTTGATTCACAAGGTTGTGTTACAAAAAGCAGAAGGAGTAAAAATAGTATTATTGCTGTCGCAAAATATCACAAAATATCTTACTTGTCTTATTCTAAGCAATACATATTATGAAAAAATAAAATTTATGGAGAATAAAAGGAAAGAGGAGGAAAAATCCTTTAAAATGAATGTGCATATATTTCAGTAAAATGATAAATGATCAAATGAACATAAAAATTTTTGTTATTTTCACCAGGCTCAGAGAGGTCTGGAAATATAGACAGATTTTACAGAGTTTGAACAGTGTGAGATTTAATTAATTAGAGCAAATACACAAAGAAAATGTCAGATAAATTTCCATGAAATAATTTCTATAAATTGGGAGTAATGTTTATACTGTTTGTCTTGCTCTGTTACATCTAGAAAACAGACTTAATTAAGGGGTTAAGAGGAAGCAGATTTTAATTTCTTCTTCATAAAAGGCAATCTCTAAATAAGAATTGTGGTCTCCATTTAAGTTTCATATTTTCTGTGACCAATATTCTCTGCCAGTTCATTGTTTTGTTGTTGTTCTGTTTTAAAAGGGAATAGATGGAAATGTTAAAATAAAACCTACAGTCCTAAAAAATGATTTAATATTACAAAACTTCTAATGACCTCCTGCAAGACATTACACTAGCCATGATCCTTTGGAATATGAAGATATGTAAGTTACATGAGGAATACATAGGCAAACTGAAAAAACAACCTGCTTCAAAATTCCCTTAAGATGCCCATGTAGAAGTAAAATATCAAAAGAATGAATTAATAAGGAAACCTGAGACAAATCCTACTTCAGAGATGTTCTACAAAATACCTGGCCTGTACTCTTTGGGTATATGAAGGTCAAGAACACAAAGTAAGGTTGAAGAATTATTTCATCTTGAGACTAAAAAGACAAGGAAAGAAATGATGGGCATAATCCTTAAACTGATGTTGGCCCAGGAGGTAAATAGCTATGGTAGAAATTACTATGACAACTAATGATATTTGAACATGGACTAAGAGCTAAATGGTACTAACTGTATCATTGTTAAATTTTCTGATTTTTAAAATTACACTGTGATTCTGTAGGAAAATGTACTCATTCTTAAGAAACACCAACTAGAGATAAGCAGGAAAAATGAATGGATGGATATATTGGTGGATGGAACTAATAAAAGATTTCTAAGGCTGTCCAATGAAACAAAAACTCTTTCATGTCAATGACTAGGGTAATAAAAAGCAATTGGTAAGTTATAAGCAGGTGTGTCAAAGATAGAACCACACACTATAAGAAATAAACTGATAAAAACTGCCCAAATGTCAAATAGGTGTTATGTGACGGTGTGGAAATATTACAATGCCTTCTTCCCTCTGCTCCTTGGACACAGCTTTCTACCAACGTAAGAGATTTTAATGGTATAAAGTCTCCTATCTTGCTTTGAAGATTGAATGTTTTCATGTTACTGCCAATGTTACTTTCTAGAGTATTATACTTTATATATAATAATTAGCATTTTAAAATTGTTAAAATAAATTGGTTTAAAATATTGAGAGTTAAAATATGTCTTGCTTTTTCATTACTCGCACAAAGGGTAAAACTCAACTGAGATACACACACACATATATACATACATATATGTATACAATTACGATGACAGTATATTATTTGTCTCAGATACCTATCAGGTTCCAAACTAACTGGATAATACTTAGGCCCCAAATAACATACTCTAATTCATTGTTACTTTTTGACAATTTTATTCTCCTTAGAGAGTACAAATTATTTTTGGGACATACCAATGTTACATTGCATCGTAATGGGTTGTTACCCATACATACAACATGTAGCTCATCCCATAGCAGAATAAGAAGAAAAATATCCTTTAAAATTTTTGTGGTCAAGGTTCAGCTGGAAAAATCTACTGACCCACTTTGGAATTAAAATGCTGCTTTAGCACATGGGCCCACGCAGGCGTACACACACACACACACACACACAGGAAATTTTCCGCTGATGTTGCACATAATAACATATCCAAGCTCTACCAGTGACACTCTGAATCATCATCCCCAAGGCAAGAATGTGCATGCTTTCAGGCTGCTCACTACTTATGCTGAATGTACTTTAACCTTAAATATTTAAAGAAAAATTATGATTGCAGAAAATCCAAGACTGTAATAAAAACAGAGCATCATAATCATTTCTCAGGAGTCATCTCAGTTGCCTTTTTTTTTTTTTTTTTGCAGTTAGTGTTCCTGAATTAGTATTACATCTGCAATCAGCACCACAGTAAATTTTCATATTAAAAGCAGTATCAAGTAAATATTACAAAGAAATAAGAGGCAAGTCATTACTTTCATTATTGTGAACTGAAAAATTGAACCCAATTCGTGACAAGTAATGTGCATATAATATAATGTCATTATGACATAAAGAAACTTGATGGCATATCTATGTTTTTACTCACCAGTTGTTTCCACAATGCCTTCTAGGATGACGACAATCTCGAACTGTTCACTTTGCATGCTTCGCTGGGATAGGTCATAAAAGGGGCTTTTGGCATCGATCACGTGGCAAATCGTGAGGGGGGAAACAAGAAAAAGTTGATCTGCCCCTGTACTAAAACCTACATCCAGTTCAAGTTGATCAAGGGGAAGGAACTCACCCTCAGGTGTCTGCCGAGACTAGACAAGCACACAGAAAAAGAGAAGAAATCACCACTTGCACTGAAATTTTCAAGGCAGCTCAACAGTAATTTACATCATTGCCAACATTCTGCACTATCAATCAGCAGCAGCAAACTCCAAACAAATCATTATGCAGCTATGTTCTGGCAAATGGGCCGAAATCCCACATAGCTCATGCAGAACATCCATGCATTATTTATAATATACAACTTACTATAATTACCATTCCCTAACTCATGAGCTTTGGAGAAATGCCTGGTCCAACAATAGCTGTTAGGACAAACTGTGCAACTAAAAGTACATGTGCCGCTGCTTGACATAAATCGCTGTGTGATAACTCACTGCATGCCCGATTTTTTTTCTCACAAAGCAAATAAGCAGGCAATTCTTATGGAGTCTGTTAAAGCTGAAAAAGGTTATTCATAATTTTAAAAAAAGATTTATTTCATCATTACAAAGCAAAACTTAAGAACTTATTTTCCAGGACTTTTGAAAAGTAACACATAGATATAAACTAGAAAAGAAGAATGAAGATGTTATCACATTAAATTGTGTTATGTACACAAGAGGTCACAGTAAAAATGCAAGGCAGATGCTATTCTTTAATACTTTTTAAACTCTTAGTAAGCAGCATAAAAGTTATTCACTTCTCTGTTTATTTTATGAATTTTAAAATAGTGTGCAAAATTGTGCTCAAAGGAAGTTCTTAAAGTCAACATCCAATTTAATAATCTATATTGTATAAAACTATGGTTTACTAAAATTTTCATAAGGCAGTGGCATTCAATATCAGTATGAATCACTGTAAACTTAATTGGATAAATTGCTTGCATGCTAAGCACTGAAAGAATATTAAATATCACTATTTAAATCAGCAAATCATGAAAGTAAACCTATTTTTATTTTCTATTCATTTTCATTGCATTTTGCATATATGTTACTTATAAGGATCATGTATAAACAAATATTAAAGTTTAATTTATATAATGGTGCTGATAAAATAAAGGCTGTGTTAAAAACTTGCATACAAAAATTTAGTTGTGTGAGGGGGAGGGCTTGCTGTTTGTGAGGTGGGGCTTAGAAACATCCAATATATTTTAATAGGTTTCTTTGCAAAACAAATTCCATAAACAAAACAGAATCTGTCGCAGTTCTGTCCAATGAAGTGGTTGGTAGTTTGAAGACAAAAACTTTACTCTCAAAATTCCTAGAAGTACATTGGTTTTGTATGTGGAGTAAATGAGTGTGGAAACTCTGAGAAATGTGGGTTAATAAGATGTCCTCTGTGGCAAAACAGAACCAAGAGTTTCTGACTGGTGGGGGATGAAGGCAGCAATTGCTAGAGTTTCAACAGGAGAATTGGTCAATTACAGAGATTACTTTGTAATTAATGATACTCAGGAACTTTATTTGTGTAGAAAAAAATTCAATGAAAATATTGAGAATATTTATCTTCTCTCCCTTGTGAGTGGTTCATTAAAAAAAAAGAAAAAAAGAAAGAAAGAAACAAGACACAAAAAAGATTACTGATAAGAAAGAAAAATCCATGAAAAAATCCAGATGGTGCATAAATAAAAACAGCAGCTCTGCCAACCAATGTTAGAGAAAACTAGGTATTTCTCAGCCAGTAGAAGTCACCTATGTTTCTAAACCTATCCTCAAATCAGGCAAATACAGATGAGACCAGCATCTTCCCAGCTACACAGTCGTCTATTGATTAATATAACACAGTAAAAGCCAAAATCAAAACAAAAATAACCCCCCCCATTTCATTGCTCTCTCACCTACTAAGAAACAGGTGCTATATAAACACAAGGTGGTATTTTGATGTTTATAATTAATGAACAGACATTGGGTTGTTTTACTAACCAGTCTGAGCTCTGCTTTTTCAGCACTTAATGAAAGTGTTCATAGAGATCATTCTTTAAAAACTCAATTTCCCATTTGTTTATAATCACTTCCCCCAAAGGAGATCATTTTTCTAATGATTACATATTGACCTCACAATTAAAATTCATCTTCCTTTTTTAATATATTTGTTATTTATGCCTGTGCCTCATTCTAAAAGCTTTCGAGTAAGCAATTAACTTTTATATTCACTGATCCTTCAACAACACATGAAAAGAAGTGGCCTAGAAACAGGCAGTCTATCAGGAAAATGCCAACCTAGAGTAAGAAATATTTTGTTTTAAGCAAAGTAGTTCATTCATATGTAGGAAATTTGGACTTATATATGCATGAAAATGCTCTATTGAAACTCCATATACCTTTCGATTTAAACAAATAATAATCTGTCCTATATACTCAAAATTTTACCTATGCCTCCCTGTCCCCATCCCCCCACACTCAATGCCTTATATCAAGTCTTGGTAGGAAAAAGTTTACAACTGTACCTATATTGTGACACTGGATAAATTAATACTACTAGATTTCTTTGAATGATATTTGCCATGTTTATATATTTTTCAAGTAATTGAAATTCCCTGCGTATTTATTGAAAATTATTTCTAAGTGAATACTAATTTACCTTTTCTTTAAATGACTCTGAGGCACTACATATATCCACAATTTTATCTTTCAGGTCTTCTTTATATAAAGTCATCAAATATTTCAACTTTATATATGCTTACCTCCTTGATATTTGTTTGCTTCTTTCTGTTTTAGACTGGTAAGCCTATTAATCACAGTAGAACACGTTTCTATATATTATAAGAGTGGAGGATATGGTTTTAGTGTGGAAGGTACTTGAAGTGGTGGAATTGTCTTGAGTCTGAGCTCCTGGTTAGAGCAAGCGTATGCCATCAGAGCTCAACCAAACACTGATGATGTTCCAGAAACCCACATATGCCTACACAGTACATTTTCAGAAGCACACACTTCTACTCTAGGCTTACAAGAAATTCTAATCTAGGTTTTTCTAATTCTGATGCAATTCTAGACATTTTCTGGGGCAAAGAGAGAAAAAATGTGTAGTTTTAAGTCTCTCGACTTATATAAGCGGAGTGAGAGAACTTTTGTTCAAGGAAATGTCATACACATATGTATATGAAAAGAAAAGACAAAAAACAAAAAGAGAAGTTATGTATTTGCCTTAATAAAATTAAACCATGATCTGTACTTTGACTATGTAATAACTCGGTAGCACTGATATTCTATCAGTTTCTAATTCTCTTATTTAACTATCAGTTACCATATTTTGCCCATAAATGTTGATAATAAGTATAAGAAATTTTAGATAAAAACTAATTTAACCTCTATTATATTATCATAATATTATGATTATAAGAAGAAATGTTTCATTTATAGAGCAATTTGCTAATGGCTCAAATTATCTCCTTTAGTTTAATAAAACTTCTAATTTTAAAGGCAACATAGACGCATGATCATTTTCTAGATAAAAATGTGTAAATAGATATGATGAAAATCAACAATAATTCAAAACAATTGCTATAATTTATGATTTATGCTGTATATTACTTAAATTTCTAAAAAGTGGATAACCCAAGTTGACTTCCATTAATGTAATAAGCATTTAGAATGATAAAGCTATTGAACGAATAAGAAAGTGCGAAAGAAGTGAAAGGAAATCAATGGGAAATTGAAAATTCTTAAAAATTTAGAACATAATTTGAAAACAATAAGATGGAGTTGGCTTTGATAGAAATTTTATTTTCAATTGTATATAATTTAGGAAGGAAATAGAAACTTCCCAGCATGTGAAAGCCTTTCTGGTTGACTGAATTATAACAAATGCTGGGAATTAAGAGAAAAATCAAAGAACTCTAAAGCTTAAAGTTTGTTCAAATTACTGTCCAAAACAAAATTATAATTGGGAGATCATGGATTTTTGAAATAACTTTGTACAATTTAGGTAGTGAAAATAATTTCTAAGTTATTTTTCCTAAGAAATATTTTGCTATTTAAAAGTATTTCTATTAGGCACATTTTAAATGTTAAATTATATGCAAATGTGTAGAATTTAAGGCTTGCTCCTCATTTTATATTCACATGTACTAATTTCAAAGAAGCAGCTAATGTCAAATGACTTTGAACTAAGAGTCCAGAAAGGCCTACAAAATAATTAATTACAATTCTGACTACAGGTGGAAAAAGATCCAAGTCACAGATGCCTAGAAAGGACTATCATGATAGTGCCCATGACCTACTTTACAGAGAATTTTCACATTACAAATGAAAAACTGTTGAGTATTGTCCAAAGACATACACACACACTCATACACCTGGGATATACATTGAACACTGTCTGGGCATAAGCAGATCCACATTTGGCCATTCTCCCTCTGGGAGATCTGGGGCCAGTTGTCCACATTCATCCAGCAAAATCACACTTCACCACTATGATCCATCTCTTTGCTGCCTTGCTCTCATCTCTCTAACCCATAACTCTGTTCTAATTTTAACCACTGTGCTCTTTCCTAGTTCCAAGGGAGGCTTGGGAAATGTTGAATGAAACATTTAATCACTAATGCCTGATTTATGAGATTGACCTCTATCATGTTCTAAGGCTTGATCCACGCCCTATCACCTCCCACAAGTCTCTACTGAAAAAGGAGCTAAGGGCCAGTGGTCAGAAAAGGGCAAGAAAGAAAAGGAGGAGATGGGGCACAGTTGGAAAGGGTAAACTAGTCTTGCTTACCACCTCCCGAGGATTTTATCTGCAATTTCACTCCTCTTTAAGTGTGTGTGTGTGTGTGTGTGTGTGTGTGTGTGTGTGTGTGTTGAAGATATGCTGAAGTCAGGAAGAAAACACAAGGAATGAGGTCAGAGTACTCTCTGGAAGCTAAAATTAGGAAATGAGCCCAAATGCCAGTACTGGGATAAGGAATAAAAAATGCCATGTGACTCAAAGCAGTCCTGGCAGTGGTTTTGGGACTCAGACCAAAATTAAAGTCAGGTAGAGAAGTGTGAGGACATGTCATTTTCTGTAGGCCATCTACAGATAAATTATATCTTTCTTTTGACTCCTTAAGCTTAAA